AAAAATTTAGCGAAACGATTTTCTGATGTATGGCAGTTGCCAAACTGCTTGGGAGCTATAGACGGAAAACATGTCCGAATAGAAAAATTTCCAAACTCCGGATCAGCCAATTTTAATTATAAAAATTATCATTCGGTAATTTTGCTGGGCTGTTGCGACGCTGACGGTTTTTTTTACAGCAATAGAATGCGGGTTTGCAGGACGAAATAGTGACGGAGGAGTTTTCCGAGTTTCGACATTTGGCCGTTGGTTGGAAAACAACAATAATATACCGCCGTCAAGTGAACTTCCGCATGACGAAAGTGGCAATAAATTTCCATACTATTTTGTGGCGGATAGCGGATAATTCAGAGTGCATGCATTTTACACAATTTTATTAGAAAAAAAGACGGGATATTATATACAGCACCCGAAAATGAAAGCAACCAATATAACCCAGAGAATCCACGAATTACAACAGAAGTGGAAACTTTAAGTTTAAATGAAAATTCTTCAGCTCAAGATCTACGCAAATATCTAACTAATTACTTTTTATTGCCAAATGTTTCTTTGCCATGGCAGTGGAACTATTGTTTATAAAATAATAAAATACAAAACTACAGAAATGCAAAAAGATTTTTTTATGTGTACATAGTTGACCATTTCATTTCCAGTGCTATTGCTGCCAAGAGAAGACGGCCTAATCCTTATGCAGTACCATGAGCGATGTTACCTGTTAAGATATACTTGAAAATATAAAGTCCAATAAGTGGAACAGCAGTGCGCCAAATTGAAGTTTAATTATGTACATATATATTTCGCATTCAAGGATTACTATACATGAACTAAGGCAAAAGATGGTTAATGTTAACAAATAAGCATATGAATTCCATTTTGTTTTGTGTTTGACAAAAAGAAAGTAACAAATTTTTATATACCCTGTCGGAACAAAGTATTGGCACAGCAATTTTTTCGCAATATATACAACCATTTTCATTCTAATATTTTTCCGCTAATTTTTTATAAAAATGTGGTTTCATTCTACGGCAAAAACATTAAAATATAATTCCTAAACTTTGTGCAAAACGCGCGAAAATTCAGCAATTTTTCATCAAAATTTTCAACTTTTTAATCAACATCATCCTTTGCTTCTCCAAGTCTCTTCCTTTTTTTGTTGTTTTCCACACATAAAGGAGTGGCAAAGGCATGATTGCGTTTTTCAGCCACTACATTAATATCGCCGTGGTCAACATCTTCAGTTGTTTCTACTTCCTCGTAGTGGTGCACATCAGATTCCTTTATTTCGAAGTTTGCGGTGTGTTCCAAATGCTGGACTGGTCGAACATACGGCAAAACAAACTCCAATATGTCTCGAAAATAGTAGGGCTTCTTAGCTTTTGCCGAAGAACCACTGGGAGACGGTTTTAAACTCCGGACAAATCCATTCCGTATATTCTTCCATTTCTCCTTACATTCTGCCCCTACAAATAAATTAAAATAAAATTGTTTATAGTCTCGTCGTGGTTTGTGGATCAAATTAGAAGTTCAAATGGTAAACATATTTTTCTTTTGTTTCAGTGCTTAAATGTAAGCGCCGATAAATATTGTATATTTCAACCACTTTTCTATGCATATGTACATACCTGACCATTTCATCACTTCAGCAATCTCTGACCAAGCTTTTTCCGTTAAATCCTTTCGAGAGCATTCCTTCAGCGTGATATTATAAATGAGGGGATATTTTTCTATTAATTGCACGAATTTTATCGTTTCGTCCGTCATTTTTACAACGCCATACGCCTCGTGTGCAGACTGCCTTAGTTTTGCCCGGCGTATTGTTATTGCGCACGGTAAATCCATTTATTTGGGACATTAGGTAGGTCGGCTTTTTTGCGAGATAAACTGTGGTGATAAGCATAGCAAGGAGGTGGGATTTTTGTGAAAGTTTGGTGAGATTACACGAAATTCAGGTGAGAGAATTCTGATATTTTGTGAAGTGTGTAGCTTGGTTGATGCCTCTCTATTTTGTTTAGTAGCATTCAAATATAGTGTACATTAGGCAGGGTCGCATTTTGTATTTGTGGTATAAAGTTTGGTTTGGTATTTTGAATATTAATCTTTTTTCCTTTTTAATTTTTTTTTGCAGCAGGAACAAAAGGAGGATTTTTTTCCTTGGTGGTTCGGGGCGGCGTGATAACGGACGGTCGGGGTATACCTCAATACGTACATACATATACATTAGATGCCTTATTTTCTCCATACATTTTGCTAAAGTATTTCAGATCCTCCCTCCGGCAGCATAATATGAAAATAGGACGCTAAAGACCTTACAAAATGAAAAAAAAAAATCATTATTGCAAAAACTGAATGAGCTACTCCGAAAACCGCGATTTATAAGACGGTTTTGCTATAACTTTAGATCCTTAAGGCCTGTATGGAGCTCTCAAGAAAACGGTCAAGAAAAATTTGCCATTATTTCGTGTGTGTGTCCAAGGAATTTTGACATCTGATACTTCACCAGCCTGTTGCCTCACTTTTTCCTCAAGAAATAATGGAACGGGCATATATTTCTGTTGCAAACCTGGGTTGCCTTGTGCTCCTTTTTCACAAAAAACTTTAGAAAACCGTAGTAGACAGCGTAGCAAATTTCTTAAGAATTGCGTACTGCCTCAAGAAAATCTTACAAAATAAAATTTCTTAGGCATTTCTTGTACGTCATTTTGTATGGAATTTTTGCTTTTCTTGAGAACTGCATACAGGCCTTATGACAACACATTCATCTTACACAAGAAAGAAAAAAATATATCCAACCTCATGAAGAATAAGCCGCTAAAGCGATTGGCGTACTCAGTTTTTTAATAAAACTAACCAAAACGATACCCACACGGCCTAAATTGACAATTTAGTACTATTTTTCACGAATTTTATTCGTTAGGATTTTCCAGATAGTAGTAATTTTTCCAAAACTAAAATATTTAAAATTGTAGCAAATTTAATGTAGTTTTTAAAAAAGTGAACAGATTTTAGATCGAATTATATTTGAACTAGTAAATTAAGCTTTTTTCTTAACAGCGGTCGTCCCTCGGCAGGCAATGGCAAACCTCCGAGTGCATTTCTGCCATGAAAAACAGCTTCTCATAGAAATACAATCTCCGTTCGCAGTCGGCGTAAAACTGTAGCTTCCTCCTCTTTGTGTGACAACATCAAGGCGCACACCACATATCGGAGGAGAAGCTCGGCCAAACACTAACATATGTGTATGCGCCACTCTAAAAAAAAAAAATTTGGCTTAAGTGAAGCCATGTTGAAAACCACTTTCAAACTTGACAAACATCGTCAAAAATTCAAAAGCCAAAGCAGGAGTGGATAAAACTGTCGTATTGTGGAATACTTTAATCTATATGCACGACTGATGATAACATTATTATCCTACATAATCAAAAAAATAGACAATATTGATGCAAGCGATAATGGAGAAAACGACAAGGACTAGTAGTTCCTTCCTAATTGGTAAGTTTCATTAATTTAATACATATAAAGAAAAGTTCTCTTAATTTTAACTACAGAGAAAAAACACTGCGCAATTTCTCGAAACCAGCGTTGCCTACTCGGGAGCACGTTCTGCGTCGAGTAATTCACCTTCGTTTAGAAGACAATTTAACAGTAATGAAATTATTGTTGTAAATGATATGGCCGAAAGGGCAATAAGTATGGCAACAAAGTTAAATGAAAAAGTAACCACTTCCGAAACCGAGAAACAGATGGGTTTTCAACACGTAGAGGCGCAGCAGAAAGTGTTTCCCTACCTAGCATCCAAAAACGACATTATTAAAAAGGAGGAGTTGCAAGAAGACGATTCGAAATTTCGAAAATTTTATAGAAGGTCGAAAGACACGTTTAAAGATTTAGTTTTTCTTCTAAAACCTGCTATTCAAAAGCAAAATACCAACATGCGCGAATGCATTGGTCCTGAAGAAAGAATAATGATAACGTTAAGGCAAGTAAACACTTTTATATATTTATATGTTTTTTTTTATTGACTGTCTTCCCTTCGTTTCTTTGTTTCAGGTATTTGTCTACTGGGTGCACGTTTTCTGCCCTGTCTTTATATTTCCAAAACGGCGTACCATTGGATTAATTGTAGAAGAAACCACAAAAGCTATATGGAATTCATTGAAGGGGTCCTACATGCCGTTACCGAATGAAAATGAATGGAAAAAATTTAGCGAAACGATTTTCTGATGTATGGCAGTTGCCAAACTG